TTCCCAAGTAGCTGGGACTACAGGCATGTGCCACCATGCCCGGCTAATATTTTCTATATATATTTTTAGCTGTCTAATTAATTTCTTTCCATTTTTTTAGTAGAGATGGGGTCTCGCTCTTGCTCAGGCTTGTCTCGAACTCCTGAGCTCAAATGATCCACCTGCCTCGGCCTCCCAGAGTGCTAGGATTACAGGTGTGAGCCACCGTGCCTGGTCGTGTTCCTATTATTTATTACTCAATGAAAATTTCCCAAAAAAATTTTTACAGAGCTAGCCCGAAGCTGTTAATATTATCTTTCCATCTCTCTTGTTCGTCATGTTGGTAATTTAGCAATTTGATGTTGGAAACCTGCAAGTCCATGACCACTCCACATCCTGAACCTATAAAAGTTGAAAAAACAGAAAATTGGGCAAGGAAGGGCACATACTATGTTCTCTGAAATATTATTTGCAAACCCTTTAAAAAAACACATAATTAATCTGGCCCAGTAATAGTCTCCAGAATTTTCTAGACATAATTTAGTAGCAATTGGAAAATCAAGAACAGATAAACACTCCTAGACAACAAAAACAGCTTTTGGTTGAAATCTTCAGTTCTTTGGCAAAACTAAATCTCAGAAATCAGAGTTCGTAAATCTCTCAGAATTCAAAATGTTAAACACTTTGGAAATAAATGTTCTGATTTGTTTATAAAAATGATTAGAATTTTCAAAGTATGCTCATGAGATCCTTGCTTTCTGACTTTATAATTAGTGTGCCAATCAGAAGAGACCCCTGAGTTCATGAAAATTTAGGCAATGCCATGTATTAATATATCCTAACATATGAGTGACAAACAGAACTGCAGGAAACATGTCTTCAAAAATACCATCAAATGAATAATTACCATCCAACAGACTGCAAATTTTAAACTATTCTTTCCACTTTTTAAATTTTTCAAATTCACATTACAAAACCTATTGATTTACTTTTCTATTTATTCTAACATATGGGGTTTTGGAAGCCCAGTTTTCCAGGTTAGATTGTAACATCTAGACAAATATTTTCTAAGACATATAGAATACCAAAAAAAAAAAAAAAAAAAAGCTTTTTTGCTAGTCATGTGGGATTAATCATCAACACTGTCCTGAGTGGCTCTTTGGGTACCAAGTCCTGAGAGATGCTCTAGACACCTCCAGGACCCCAAATGCTGCCCTTGCTGTCTGAACTGAATAAAACTGAGCCCTAACTGAACACTGCATTTCCTACTCCCTGGGAACTGTGAGGACAAACTTTCTTCCTATCACTGTTATTATCACTAGAAGTATGAAGGAAAACAGTTCTCAAAACACCCTGGGAAGATCAATCTATGATTTAAATGTGAATGTTATGCATACAAACTTTCTGATGAGAAATATACTTACAGATTCACATTTGGTTCCATAGTATTTCCAAGGCTTGGCTTGCTGAAATAGCCTTCTCTAGAGAGTTGTTTTTTGTAATAATTATAGAGAAACTGAGAAAGGCCTTTCACAAGGTCAGAGATAATTTAGTGGAAAGAGTTCTCAAAGATGACAGCTATGCAAATTATATTTAACACACTTATTTTCAATGACTAGTGAAAAAAATGCTATGTAACATTTTAAAAGGAATATACCCTGTTGGCCATTTGCTGTGTATTTAAAAGAAAAGTATATTTAAAAGATAATCTGCTGTGCCTTGGCAAAAGCTTTACAGTAAGCCGTGCTACTCAGACTCAGATGCAGGCCCTCAGCAGAGTCTGGTTTGTCTGATACATTAAGGCTCAGCAGACACAAAGTAAAGAAAGACGTGAATCAGAGAAGCAAGATTCAGATGGTACAGCTAAAATGTTTCCTGAAAACAAAACAAAAAATACACAAAGAAAATAAGCAAAAATATCCCCTGGAGAATTTGTAAGAGCTGGGGTGGATTATTTACCCAGGCAGAAGGAATCTGGAATGCTAAACATTAGATTTTCAAACTTTCAACTTCGCTTTCGCCCTTTCTAATCAGTGATGTTGGCATCATCATCAAATTATAAAAAAGAGCTGAAAATAGATTTTAAAAATGCTACATACCACAAAATACTATGACTTCTGATGGGAAATACCACTCGAGTTTATTATTTTAAACCTTTATAAAAAGAGAAGCACTGAGTTTAGAGAATAAACAAACTTTATTTTATAACAGTATTACAGAAAGCAAAATATCATTTAATACAACTTGAAGCTGCTGTAAATCTAATCTGGCATCATAACTATACATAAGATCAAAAGCAAGGGGGAAAAACGTTCAATACAGTTAATAAGTCCCTATCAGGTCTCTGGTGTCAGCTTTAAATGGTTTAACGTTCTTGCAACCAACAAAAAACCGCCCTAGCCCCCTACCTCTCTTCCCAGTGTCCTCAAACCTGTGTGAATCATCAAACTATCTGAAAGAGATCTGCCTGCTCAATAACGAAAGGTCAGTTTTACTTATACACAAGGAGGTTTAATACAAAGCAAGTGCTCTAACCAAGTGTTCAAATAATGGAAAGTATTGAAATTTGGATATGTTAAGAAAGAAAGCACTAAGGTTTTAAGCTGCCTCAATCTTTTAGTAGAAGGGAGGAAAGGGTTTTCTCCTTCTCCTCCCTCCTGTTCTGGAATGCTGCCGAAGAGGGTGTGTGTGAGAAGCACTGGCACTGCGGCACGGCAGGTCTCTAAGCACAGTGCGTGGTCAGCAAACTTCGAAATTCTCCAGTCTGGAGATTCGGACTCTCTACTACAAGTAAAAAGTCACAGGACTGGAAAGTCAAAGGGTCCAATATAAAAAACATCCCCAGTGAAATGCTGAAACATTAGAAAATTTTCAAAATGTAAGAAATGCTTTTAATCTGTATTAATATTTTCTCATACAGTATATTTACTGCCCTTGGAAAACTCTGTAAATATTTACTGTGAGAACTCAATGGAAAGAATCTGGAAGAAGGAAAGTCACTACCTAAATTAGTCACAGAGTTTCCTTTCCGCACAACAGCACCTGTTCAAGTGAACAGCACCTCACCAGCACGGGCTGGCTTTGTTCACTGTCATTTTGATCAGAATGAGCCACAAAAAGCAGGTAGTTGTACACAAAGTAAACAGGAAACAAAAACAAAACCCCTTAATTAAAAAAAAGAAAAGAAAGAACTAAGAGTATTTAAAAGTGGTTATAAAACAAAACAATATATTAAAATGGATAGGAACAATATAGACCAGAGCTGTTAAGGTAAGGTTTGGTGTTGGCATTTTAATTCTTCAGGCTTCTGGTCATCGTTACCAGTTGTAGCATAAATTTGCTGGAGTAGTGGTGTGGCATTAAGACTCGGAATGGTCAAAATTCTTCAGGTTCACAAAGTTGAATGTTGCTTTAAAAATGACTTTCTAGGAGAGAAAAAAGAGACAAGTCTTAAACATTCCATAAAGAAAGGCTTGAAAAAAATGTTACGTAACATTCACTAAGTTTCCAATCAAGTAATCAACAGTTACTATCCGCCTAGCCCTACAGTAAATAATATGTTTACCAGATGACAAGCATGAGCGGCTATTCCACCCTTGAGGGCCTTAAAATATCTGCAGAACTGACAAGCACACTAGAAGCAACTGGCAAATAAGAGTACACTGCAAAAGAATTAATTAGTGTAAAACAGAGACAATCCATATAGAAAGAATCTAAAAAAGAAAAACCACAGTAGGTTCTAAAGCTAGATTCAGGGAGGAGAAAGCCACAGTCCACTTTGCCTTCACTGAAATGAACAGAAAGGGCACTTCAGGTGGAGAGAGTGGAACGAGGAAATGAGGAAGGGGCGTGGGGGTGAGGAGGTACATGGTACTTACATCATTATGCCCATCTTAGTATCATAGCATGTGAGGGGAGGAGGCAGAAATGAATGGGAGAAATAGAATGGTGAAGAAATAGACATTATTAAAGCTAAGGATGGGTATAGTGAGTAACGGAAGGTAAGAAATATTAGGTCTAATCTTTAATACTAGCCTGAGAAGTATGAACTTCATCTAATACACCTGGAAAAAAAAAAAAGAAAAAGAAAAAAGAATGAATTGAGAAAGAAAATTCAGACAAGAGCCAGGGAGACGCAAAATACAGGTCAAAGAGCCAGCAGGTGACCAGTTCATGCAGGGCACGGTAAGCCTAGGAAAGGAGGTTGGAACTGCTTCTCCTCTGATTTAGAGGAAGGGCTTGGCGTGGCCTGATTTATGTTTTGAAAACATCGCTGTGGCTTCAGTGTGATGGCTGCAGACGGAGAGGAGTAGAGGCAGGAACACCAGCCCAGAGACCACTGCAGAGGTCCAGGCTGGATGGGAAGATGACAAATGCCAGGCATTACTGCTAGATGGCAAGGACCCAGACTTGAGTGGTTGTACAGAAATCAGGTGGAGAGAGAAACCTGAGAGGCGCCACTGAAGAAGAAGAATCAGAGTGTGGTGGTAAGAAGGAAGTATCACAGAGGACTATGACGTTTTGAGTCTGGGGCTTAGGACAAATAAAGAGGGAACGAAGGCTTAGAGCCTGGGTGGAACCAAGGACTAGAGATGTAGATTTGGGAGTAAGAAAGAAGAAGTAAGTGAAACCATCAGATAGAACTAAGTTTCACGTGAGTATAGGACTTGGGGAAGACCCTAATCAAAGGTAGGCAGGTAGGAGAGAAGACTAAAAACCATGATGGTATCTCCATCCTGAAAGAGAAAGCTGTGTTAAGGCGGCAATTGTTTCATTTTCTATTTCGGTTTGGTTGGAAGTTTTGGCAAAATGATAGGTAATTACAGAGGACAGTGGAGAGTGGTAATTACTGTCCTTTCCAAGAGACACTGGTCCCAAAGTCAATTAGAATGTACCTTCTTTTGGTTAGACAAAATTAAGTCTTGCTTTAATGAAAAGACTCCCCAACATTTAGATTTATCACAGATAATATTGCAGCCTCTTGATTATTCAGGACAGATTAATCAAATTCATTGTTTCCTACCCTGTTGTCTGCCTTAGGCTATTTCATTACTCTTTAATACTTCTGCTTGATAGTACTCTTTAGTACTTCCACAGAGAACATTTACGATTCTATTCTCTGACTCTGTCACTTTATTTCTTTGAATCTGTTTTTATCAAAAATAAAAATTTCCACTTTTTAATGAGTCCTAAATTTATAAAGGAAAGCTAAAATTAAATTTGTTTCAAAGTTATTATAGGAAACTAGGAGTATATAGGAACTGAAGGAAGTAGATCTTTATCTCAAAAAACTTCAACATTTACTAAGCTAAATACAGAGAAAAAGACATAATTACCCATGTAACCTCAAATATAATTCATTCCAATTTATTCATAATCAAACCACTAGAAAGTATAATAAACTAATTTTTTTTTCTGGTAATAAGTATCACAAATGATGACCTTGATGTACGCTTAGGATTCTAGATTTCAGAATGAAAGAATATTACATGTATTGTAATGTTAATGTTAAAATTAAATTTACTTCCTTGTTCTTTAAAAAGCAGTAGATCAAGTATAACACTGAGTTAATTAGACATTAAGTATGTCAAGAACCCCCCTGGGTGCCTTATTGCTGTGAATGAATAGGGAACAACTTACTGTATAAAGATTTTATTTACACATCCACTTATCTTTTCTGACTGCTTCATGCACTTAAACATATGTAGAAATGTGTTCCTAAATGCAAAACATTTAGCTTTTAAGCCAGGAAGGGAAAGACAAAGATGGAATCACCCACGCCATTGGTACACAAGCGTAGGACACGTTACACTTTCCTGTCCTCTGGCATGTATCTGTGAAAAACAAACTTAATATTTCACAATTTTTCACAGACTATATTTCAAGTCTAAATGATTTATCACATATCCTAAACAAAATGAAAACTAGCACTGGTTCTTCAGGTAAGAGTGGCAAAAGTTTCAAGAACTCTTTCTTCTAAAGCTTGAATTCTACCTTATATTCGTATAAGTCTGGACATCTTTACTTTGTCAATACAAATTGGCAGGTATTAATCAAAGGCATTAATTCACCCTGCTTCCACTTTTACAACATCATAAGGTTCACCTTGAATTTGGAGAAGATCATAGCTGTTAAGGGTATGGATTATACTTTATGTATTAGAATTGTGGTCAAGTCAAAAAAAACAAAAACGTCCAAATCACTGTTTCTTTCCCATGCTTCGGTTTCCCACTCCTAGACTATACAATGTCAGTAAACATTTCTAACTATCATAGTCACATTCCTTAGCCTGTGTCCCCCTCTTTTGGCCAATGTGAGAATATGTCATTATTCTTCACCTAATCCCAGGTCTAATTCTACGTGCGAGTTCTTCAAGGACACCTGCTGGTTGTGTACCTTGCCTTAAGCCCTCACAGAGGATTCAGAGAGTTCTTACTGATCTTTCTCTGTAAGCCCAAAGAGCAGTGGTGAAACAAGTCAAGTTTGCACACAGAAGTTCTATGATCTCATCTGGCAAGGACAACCCTGGAGTTTCCAGAGACAAGGGGCTCACATGTGGATCTCAATCTTGAGAGCGCTCTACTCTAGAAACTGATTCAGTAAATTGATTTTAAAAAGCACTTGACACAAACCACTAGAAACGATGCCTTTAAGTGGTAAAGTACTCATTCAAAGTCTCAATAAAAATGCAAAAATATAGCTTTTTCCAAAATACAAGAAAACAATAAAAATAATATTGCAAGGAAACATTTCTTCAGATTAATGAATATTTAATTACCACAGAACAGTAATATACTCAGAGACTATAAAAATGGGAATAAAATATATACATAAATAAAAATGAGGTCCATGTGCTCAGGTGTCAAGTTCAATTTTAAATCTGATACTTTATGACTCTGACAGTTACTTCTCTAATGCTAAACTTTCATTTTTATTCTTCTTTGATTCTCAATTGGCATATTTGATTTTAATTTTTAAACAGAATCTCCATTGTTTAAATTGTAAGACTCTTAGAGTCAAAAATGCAAGTATGTTAAATTTCCATTTGGTTAACCCAGGATATAGTGAATTCTTAAAATCTTTATATTACCACTGGTCTGCAGACCCTGAGGGCTGCCAAGACTCTTTAAGGAAGTTGGAGAGTCAAAACTGTTTTCATAATCATATTAAGACATTATTTGCCCTTTTCAGTGTGTTGACATTTTCACCAACGGTGCAACAACAATGGTGAGTAAATCTGCTGGCATCTCAGTACACATAGGTCAAAGCCATGGCATCACACTTTACTAGAAGACGCCTTATTCTTTGCCAGTGTTTACTCGCAGGCAAACAGTAAGTCAGGTTCACCTAAGGACACCCTTGATGCAAAAGAAAAAATATTTTCTTACATCTCAACCCTTGAGTACATGTCTTTTTCATATTCCGTGTGATGAAATGGAAAGTACACATATAACACTCCCGCTGCACGCAGAAACACGACGACGTCTAGAGGAAAAGTATTTGCATGAATGTTTGAACTGTGAGTTGAAGCACCTGCCTTTTTCATAAATCATCTTTTTTTTACTTGAGAGAACTGATGATGGACAAACTATATTATTCCATTTGGATACTTGGCTGGCCCTTTCTTGAAAATGAAGTGAGCCTGCCACTTCAAGAAAAACAACTGACAGTTCTTGTTGCCAATGACAAAATTCAAGCTTTTAGGTGAAAATTAGAATTTTGGAAAATAGTATTTTAGTCACCATGAGCTTGATAGCTTCCCGACATTTCAAGACTTTTCTCATGAGATCAGTGGCAACCACTAATCTTTTTACTGTCTCAATCATTTTGCCTTTTCCAGGATATCATATAGTTGAAATTATATAACATGTAGCCTTTCCAGACAGCCTTCTTTCACTAAGTGACTATTTTTAACTTAATATTTTTTAAACTTCTCAGTTTTGATTTCCACTATGATAAATTTCAGTAACTATAACTCACACAAACAAAAGCTCCTTGGGCTCTTCAACAATTTTTGGGAATGTACAGTGGTCCTGAGAACATTTATCTGCTATCCCTGGCCTATTGCTGTTTTCTTTCTCACAGATAATCTTTGTATATCTGCTGGATAGCAGAAGAAAATTAAATCTAGTGGTTTTTTTCCTTTTCAGTCAAATGAAGCTCAGTTCCTGTTTTACAAATAATTCAGCAAAATGCTTTTGCTTTTCCTGGTTTGCTAGAATGCATTAATGCTGTTTGGAGCCCCCATCTCCTGATGAGGCTCTTCTGTGGGCCCTGTGAGGCCTGTGTCTCCTATTTAGGCCTTTCTGGACTGGGCTGTCCTGCCTGAGCCCTGTCTCCTTTGAATGAACTATATTGCTCTTGAAGGCTTACGTACTACTACAATTTCACTACGAAGAGTAATACAGGTACTGAGCTTCATTTG